CCTGCAAGTTTTTTTATGGCACCAACCTCCGATTATGGGTCGGAACGAGTTCCCTTTCGTCCACCTCCCTCCCCCCATCCAAAACACAAGTCCCACGTGACCTTTGAGGCCAAGTTATGTATAAACTCCCCGTGTCACAGGAAGTGGAGTTAGATTGTAAGTTCTTTGGGCGGGAGACTCCTATCACTCGTTCGGCTCCACTCGGACTGACAGATTTCAAGAAATAAATAAAATTTTCGATAATAATAATAATATTGATAAGAATCCAATGATCTCAAGTCTCCCAGAAGAGCTGCTCGTGTAAAGGAGGTATAACAGGATATGTGAGATAACCCTCTAAAAGAGTTTTCCTTTCTTTTGATGGCCTTCCTTTTTTATTTTTCTGTCTTAGGTCCTTAAAGTGTACCTGGCATCAAGACACAAGCAAGATAGCTATATTGTGCACTGAGACCATTTTCTGCTTGCATGCTAGGTTCCTGGTGAATTGGTGGGCTTCCAGTTCTAAATTATTGTCCAGCCAACTGAATTGCCACAGGTACACTTTAATGACCTCTCGATCCAATCTCTTTCCTACCATTGGTAGGGACCAATTTTGACGTTTCCCCTCTGCTTAACATAGCAGTGACTTTTTACAATGTTCTCTTCGCTCATTCCACATTGAATCATATTCTAACGTAAACCTCCTTTCTTTTGCGCTATTCCCGCTATGACCAGAGTCAACAGGAGCCAACTCAATCAATCACATGACCTTTTTGACCATTATCACACAGAAAAGGTAGCTCATGAATGATGAAGTTATGGTGAATGGCAGTCAAATCATAAAGAACGGTGTTATGAAACTGGAGATAAAATGAGGGTAGAGGGTGGAAAGGATGAGACTATGGATTTGGCAAGGTACCCCCTACAGTGCAGATCTGTCAGTGCGAAATCCCAGGGCGGTCAGACCTGAGACAGAGAGCGAGGAGGGGGGAGATCGGGAGACTTAAGAGGGCCAACTGAAATTTTTTTTAGAACAAAACAGAGGAATTTATAGATTTTAGGAGTCCAAACAGAACAAAGGCTTAGGAAACGAGTTTATATGGTCAAGGGGGGTCTTAGGCTAAGTTCAGTGCGATGTCCCCTTCTCTCTCCTCTCCACTTCCCAAGTGTGTCCGGGGTCACACAGATTGTCGGCCGCAGGTCTAGACGGCGCAGAGGGACGATGTCAGAGTCATGGAGGAAAGGGGGTTCCCAGCCCCCTTTCCTACGGGCCCATGGACAGATGCCTCAGTGGGGGAATTCCAGTTCCCCTTCCTCCCCCCCAGGCTCCTGAATGGACCCCTCAGCTCCGGTTAGTGGTGGTCACTTGAGTTTAGAAAGTCTCCATTTTCTGTGATTTGGAGTCGAGGAGGCAGAGGTGGAAGGGCCCCATTCCATGGTGTCGCCAGCCTCAGACGCAGGTCTGCTGAACCCACGGAGGGAAACTTCTTCTCCTGTAGGGGGAGAGGGGGAGAGAGAGCTTACTTACTAATGTAAGGTCATGGCATCCATAGATGTACATACATATGTATCTCTAGGAAGGCAACAAACTACAGAAAAAACAGCAATTGATGAACTATAGTTATCAAAGCGCCAGAAGGTAAAATGGCTCTTACTGTCACACACAATAGTGTGGCTACAGTACTGCAGTATCCATGTAAATATGGGTCAAACCATCAAAAACTGACTGAATATTTGGGATATTCTCTCAAGTTAAAACATTTTAATATTTTCTTTTTTTTTAGTAAGTGTTAAACCTTGTCAGTTATTTATTTTTGTCTGTTATCCCATTAGAGAGATGATCCCTCAGTTCCTGGGTCACCAGGGCAGGAGATGAGGGATCTGGTCATCACTAAGACAGGATGGCACAAAATTAATACAAACATTGTCAGACATTTCTAACCATTTCACACTATAATTTTATGTTCCCATTGGAGAGATTTCCCATCACGTCCTGACAGGAAGTGAGGGTAAATTCCCCCAGAAGGGCACAGGCAATAATAAAAATCGACCAGGGGCTCTAACCATTCCTAGCTCTATGCAAAGCAAAATAAACAGTCTTGGCTGCTGTTAGGTTGTCTTATATCTCTCAAGGATACCATTAGTGAGATCTCACGACTCTGAGTCCACAGCTCTGAACATTGCTGCAGCTTTCACATTGTAGTCCCAGACTCCCTTCCAGATCTTTACTGTATTTAAAGTGTATGTAAACCCTTCATCTATTTTTCAGTATATTTGGCATCACTGTATACTATTTTCTTAAAGCTGAACTTACATAGTTACATAGTATTTGAGGTTGAATAAAGACACAGGTCCATCAAGTTCAACCTTTGTGTGTCTGTGTGTGATTGTGCATATGTGTGTGTGTGTGTACACTAGTCCCTGTGTGACCTTGTTTTTAAGAGTACCTGTACCCCTGTATGTTACAGTCTCTGAGGAAGGTATCTAAATGCTTTTTGAATGATTCAAAATTCTCTGCTGACACCACTTCTTGTGGCAGCGAGTTCCAGAATTTAACCGCTCTAACTGAAAAAAAAGCCACTACACCCCTTGTGATTAAAGGAGAACTATGGGGTCACGGCTTTTCCCCATAGTTCTCCTAAGGGTCACGGGAGAACACAAACTAGCGTTCTCTCATGACCCAAAGCACAGTATACCGCGAGTTACAGCTCCCTATATACTGAGATGCCGCAGCCGGGACAGATCCCGACATTACTGTTTGGATCCACCCAGCTGTGGGATTGACAGCTGGCTCTGCCTATCCAGAGGCAGAGCCAGCTGTGCCCGCCCCTCCCCCGTCCGTTCCGCCAGTCATCGCTGGAGGATCGGACAGAGGAGGGGGAACCCCTGCAGGGAGCCGTGAGTGACAGTCACGGCTCTCTGCAGGGATAGATCGAGAAGTGAGCGAGCTACGGTATGTGTTCACTCACTTCCCGATCTACTGAGCCGACCTGTGACAGTTTCATTGATACAGGTCGGCTCAGATTATGAGGCTGAGTGAAAATCCCTCGCCTCATAGTTCTCCTTTAAATCTTTTCTTCACCAGTTTTAGGTGGTGGCCTCTAGTCCTTGTTATGGAGTTTACTGTAAAAATACAATGGGAACTTCAGACAGATAAAATCTTCATTCAAATATATTCCTCAATACCCACAAAGGATATAAATCCCCATTGTCTACAGCCCAATGCACCCTAGAACACCGCAATGTATATACCACGTGTTGGTGTGGATTGCTAACAAAAAGGGTCACATATGGTTTTTCATCCATTGTACTCCATTGGCAGCCCATTCACAATGATAAGTTGCCTTGGCACAATGCACGTTAATGCATACCACAATGCACTTTGATGCACATGCAATAATGCACTACAACAAAACACTTAAGTGTGAATGGGCCCTGAGCCACTGACTCACAATTAGCAGTAGTGTTGTCAGCCTGTCATGCTAGTTACTTCAGCTGGCCACTACACCACCTATCTAATGGATCTGATAGACAGCCTCTCTAAAGGGAGCTTTGCCCCAAGATGGCCTTTAAGTAGTTTCTAAAGGGGCAAATCACATGATAGTCCTCATCCGTCTCTTTGAGGCTCCTCTGGTTAGCTTGTTGAATATCTTGTTAGCCTGAACTCTTTCAGCTACTGGCCAAATAATGGTGTACCCCAACAGATTTAAAGTTGAAGAAAACAAACAATTGGCAAGTCCAGCAGTGAGAGAGGTCAACAAAAAGTGTGTCCCATCGCACTCCTGAACCGGAATGAAAACCCAACATAGGGTGGATGCTGCAGTGACAGCAGATGACTCTGCGAAATCATGCAAAAATCAAATGGAAATTCACTCGCACTCCGGATAAATACCAAGTCAACCTCTTTATTGACTGTAGTGGTGTCACATATCAAGGCGACGTTTCGGAACCAAGTGGTCCCTTCTTCAGGCAAACTGAAGAAGGGACCACTTGGTTTCCGAAACGTCGCCTTGATATGTGACACCACTACAGTCAATAAAGAGGTTGACTTGGTATTTATCCGAAGTGCGAGTGACTTTCCATTCGATTTCAGCAGTGAGAGAGGGACACCTTCTTCACCTTGTGGGAGGGGCAGAGGCACAGACTGCTGTGGAGGAATCTCACCACTGGTCTTTGAGAGATATAAGATGCCGGCTGGTAATTTAACTATCACAGGTACATTAATACAACTGCTGTGAACATTACTGGAGGCAAACCTGTCATGAGAGAAATACAGAGGCTGGCACTGCCAAACTCCTTCTGCAATTGCCTGTCATGCTGATCTTCTTGCTTCAATACTTTTTGAGTCGTTCACCTCCTGATTATTGACTGTGATTGGGATAGTCAAAGATTAGCAGATGCCGATTTGGAACGTCAAAGAGAAGCCAGAACACCCGATCTGTGTCCCCTGACCCAAATAAATGAAGACTGAGACTAGCATGACACCCACCTACTATATTCAAAAGGAGTTTAATGATGGCAGACTTCATAGATCTCTTTCTTTTAAACCTGATATAGTCCATATACCCACTGCACTCAGATGCCGCTATTCCAATGTGATAAGATAGGTGCTGCGGTTGTCAGCAATTGTCAACCGTCTCGTCATATAAACAAAGGCATGGACACCGGCCCTCCAATAGCTGATTAAGAACGTCTATTTATTAACGTACGTGCTGCATAGCAAATACACTTAATGGAATGTTTCGGGGTCGCAAAGGATCCCCTTCATCAGGCAGAAACAAGTGACATCGTATTAAATGTATTTGCAATGCAGCACGTATGTTAATAAATAGACGTACTTAATCAGCTATTGGAGGGCCGTGTGTCCATGCTTTTGTTTCTTTTAAACCTGCCATGGGAAATTAATGTAGGCTGCCATTGCTAAACCCTTCTTCTGAAAATACCACTTCCTAGGCTGTCATTCCGATGTGTTGGCCTCAATGGTGTCGCAGTTGGTGACCTAGAAAAAGTACGGCATACTGAGACTTTCCTGACTGCTCACGTGTTCCCGATCTATAATTCAAAAAGTATTGATGATAGATACAGCCGGGAAGCATTATTGATGCATTGTAGCTTCTCTCATGACAGGGTCACTTTAATCAGTAGGCTGTTACAGTTCAATTTGCATAAACAAAACACATGTTTATTGGACATGATCTTGAAAAGTGGACAAAAGATGGACAAATCGGCTCCAACCAGCACCATGGTAGCTGTGTGCAGTCCGGTGGAGATAGCTGACCCAAAAGAAAAATCCAACTTTAAAAATTAATAAAGAAAGTAATATGAAAAAAAACAATGTAGGAAAACAAATAAGCTTCTAAACTCCTACCCTGATGTGGAGAACCCGGCACCAGCACATCATCCATACAATGGACTCATGTATGGAAACCGGAGCAATGGTAAAGTAGAAGCAGAGCTGTTTCTGACAGGAAACCAATCACATTTCTTATTGCATCCACGCAGGGAATGATTGATGCAATCTGATTGGCTGATACATGATATAGTATATATTTTTACAATTTTTCATCAAAGGATTCCCAAAAAACAACCAACATTTCATCATCGTATGAGAACCGTCCTAAATATTCAACCCAAAGTCTATCCAATCATGTAGATCCTCGACTCTACGTAACTTATAACATTTGAGCTGCCAGATCTAACTAAGGCTCACCATAAATGTTACCATCAGATCCTATAATCCTTGTACAATCAACTTTAGATATAACAAAACTATTTCATATGAGGATCTACTTGAACTATTTTAATTACTTTGTATCCAATCAGACTGGCCCTTCCACTGCACACTTGTTGGTAGACCTAAAGGAGATTGTACAGTCTGATTGTAACTTGTGTGCTGAGCTTGAGACTGTGTTAGGCCAATTTGAAGAGCCCTTTGCCCACTCCCTTGCCACCTGTCTGTTCTGTTTCTCCATTACTCAGAATAGGACTTCCCGTATATAGGGAACATGTGACCTCCCTATGACAGTACTCAGGTCTCAGTGGTCGAGTGGCCTGAACATGGTCATGTGTGTGGAAGGGAAGTGACCTCATCCACCAAGGTAAGCTCCGACACCTTACAACACCAGTACTTTGGGTGGCCTTCTGCAGCAGAGAGGTGGCAAGGGAGCCCAGATTGGTCAATATAACTTGCTGGGCGGGGTGAGGGGGGGCTACCAATAGGAACTGTCAACTCTGCCCTGAATGGGTAGTTGACAGTGTAACATATACTTACCTATCTACACTCCCTTGCCAGCTCTCTGTTCTGTTTCTCCATTACTCAGAATAGGACTTCCCGTATATAGGGAGCATGTGACCTCCCTATGACAGTACTCAGGTCTCAGTGGTCAAGTGGCCTGAACATGGTCACGTGTGTGGAAGGGAAGTGACCTCATCCACCATGGTAAGCTCCGGCACCTTACAACACCAGTACTTTGGGTGGCCTTCTGCAGCAGA